ATTCGTTAACTAAAGAATAAAAGAGGGTTTGAGAATGATATAAATGAACTCATCTAAATCTGCTGATGAGAGCAAAGTTCCACCAAAATGTTTCAAGTCTTAAAAACCCACTTTTTTTCCGGAGCCAGAGTTCCTAGCACTCTGTGTACTTTAAGTGTGTATCGGGGTAAATCTGAATAAAAATATTGGTATATTGTGGAATCATCATTGTTCGTGGGATATCGATGTTTGTGGATTTCATGGGTTATCCTTAAATTACCCACGAAATTACATTCCCCACAAATGTTAGCTTTGTCAATACATCAATTCACTAAATCGTTGGTATTTACGAGTTGGCCACGAAATTTCGTTCCCACGAACTAGTAAAATTTGGTTGCCCATGATCATTGATCCCCACGAATAAAGACGATTCCACAGTATTTAGGCAGAATTAATTCCACGTTCTTTTTATCTTAGGTGGAAATTTCTTAATTGTAGGAATGGTAATTATTTTATAATTTTATCACTGCTGCCAACTGACGCTGCATTGATCGGTGGTTCTGAGTAGTGAACAGTTGTTGTAGGTAATTATTCCCTGTAACCTGTACATATTCTTCCCCGAACACTCATTCTACTCAAGAAAAAATGCAGGTCTTGGGAACTTTTTTTCCATCTCACGTGCTGGCTGGCATTTGGTGACGGCGGCGCGTGCTGTTTACCCAAATAATGTGAAACAATATAATTGCAGTTGGTAGCATGTTTTACGCCTGCAGTAATTAATCGGCAGCTCGGTAGAGTCTGTTTTTGGGGGACCAGCGGTGATTGTTTACTTTCCAATATATTGTATTAAGACGCAAACTGCTGAAGACGAAAGCCATTTCTCATTATAACTAACAGCGAGTTTGGCACTTAGGATAATCGCATCTTAATAGCTATTCGCTTCCCCTCTATACATATTTCTAAATTTTGTTGATAGAGTTGTTAAGAATTAAGAAAGTGTCATTTTGTTTTTAAAAAAAATCGATGGACAAGTCCGAAAGGAAGGGATCCATTGACGTATAGCAATAGAATGGGTTTATTAAAGATATAAATGTTACATTTGTCCAACTTGGAAACTTATGACAACAAACATATATAATACCACGTATATGAATTTGCTCTATATCGATAAATTAGATTTTTCCCTATCAAAATTTCTTTTAAAGCTGACTCGGCATGGTTGGAAAAACTACGCATATGGCATAGTTTGAAATTGTTCCTAAATATCTGTTACAGATAGTAAGGAAGTAATTGTTTCGTTTTTGTTTTTACAAATCTTTAATAACAACACGTGTGAAAAAAATTAAACATCTTCATTTACATACATGTTAATATGCAAGTTTTTCTGTGTTATTATACAGATTAAAGAAACAACACAATCATTCCCCCAGCTGTGTTTTCATGGATTCTTAATAACTTATTTAAAAGGTTTCGCTTGTTATCAATTAAGTATGTATACTTTCTGATAATCTCTTCTCTGAAGATTTATTTCTGTTCATAAGATACTCCCTGTTTTCTTTAAAGCATTTCGAAGGTAGAGGCTTCTTATATATATACAAGTATGAAGGAACAATATTTTGTCTAAATCTTTTCCTTGAAATCCTTGAAATTGATAACTGTTTTAATTAGCATCTCTGCAAAATTATTTTCTGGTAAATGTGAAGTAAATGAAAAATGATTGGTTCTTTTTAATTCAAGTTCATTATCAAGATAAAGAGACACGTTCTGATTAAGAATACGGGGATAGCTTTATTCTTTTCATCATTAATACTATCTTTTCTCAAGGTCATAGATTGCGCATCTTTATTCATTTACAGCGCATGTTTCATCAGCCCGCCGTAAGAAACACTAGCCTCTTGCTGAATACTTGCTTCCGATGCTTTGTGTTCAGGAAATATTAAGTTTGGTACGCCAATGGTAATTTAATTAATTTGATGAGGAGGTGAAAAACTCGCCTTCAAAGCACCTTATCTGTCCCAGCATCGACTACAAAGGGCAATCAGAAAGAGGGATCTAAACTGTGATTAAAACTAACTCTTTTTCCTCAAGAAACTCTCTTAAAAGTGTAAATTGTATATAAATAGTATTGTATTCTGAAGGATTTATCATTAATGCAATAAAATGGAGGAGAAAACATAAGAAATCCATGCCTTTTATTCCTGAGTAGCTCTATCACCGATACATAAATTAAGGGTGAACCATTTCTCGACATTTATCGAGAGTGGAACCCACTTTCGATACATTTGACAGACCAGTAAATAGGGTGTTTACATGCTATAGACTAGGTTTCAGGTTGAAAAAACATCCCTTGTTGAATCGATTAGCGGGAGATTTACTCTTTCTACAGTGGCACTGATTATTTCCACAGCTGCATCAAGTCTCCTCAGAAAACAGAACTTACCCTATACTTTTGTCAGTATTTTTTGTCTCTAACAAATTTGGCTCTTAGAATTTACCCCAGTCGTATCGTTAGAATAAGCAGTTAAGAATTACTATTTCTACTTTCATCTATATTACTTAAAATTCTTTGGAGAAAACATAAAATTTCAATTTGATAAATCGCCCGCAGACTAAGTTACTTAGGACGCCTTACCTGTAAATCATCCAAAACCTTGAGAATACATAATAGCATTCTAAATCGGTATCATCCCTGGTGGACTTAACAAAGCTTTTCTAAATTCTTCAAATATCACCAGAGTTATAAAATTATTTGGAATTATTTTGAACATTAAGAAAAAGTCTGGGAGTTTCATACACCTTAGAGAATATTTTATGGTATAGATGACGTGTAGGATATTTTCGTGAACGCGTGTCATGCTATTTTACTATTTATACATGAACATAAAATAAGAAAAAAAAGTCTTTTATCAAGGGAATATTTTCTTCTCTATAGAAAATGTCTTTCAAAAGGAAAGGAATGTTTCATTCTCACTCACAATAGAGTAAACAGTAAATGCTCTTGCCAAAAGAAACATATATATTTTTGAAGTTAATGGACAAATACATGCATATAACAACAGGTAATATGAGCCTTCTAATGTATTGGAAACGATACCAAAGTTTTGTTTGTTGTTTTTTGTTTCTTTCAAACGACTAGAGATAATTTTTTCTCGACAATGGCAGTATGTAACATGACTTTGATATTGGAAACATCGAAAAAATCTTTAACTATTGGCGACATTAAGTCACTTTGTCAAGTTTCCTGGCATTGTAAATAATTAATAGACTAAACGCAATACATGTAGACTGCTTAGGTTCAGTTGAATGAGTAAACCAAGCATTGCATTAACGAATTAGTAGTCACGGTAGAAATCAATAAAACACGTGAAATATACTTTGATGTTACTTAGATATCAAAACAAATCCAGAGAACTGCAAAATGTGTAAAAAGAAATATATTATACTATTTGCAGATTTTTTTTTTAAAAAAAAATCGTGACTTCGTAGCTCCAAAGTCAAAATTACATATCTTTTTTTTGTTGTTGTTGTTTGTGACGTAAATCGAAGGAAATGTCAAAATTATGAGTTTAGAGAAGTTTTAGATCAAAATTAGATTGTGACTTTCATTGGTAGTTTCAAACAAATTCTGCAATATGACTACTTTTTAAAAGTAGTCATATTGCAGAATTTATTTGATAAAATAAAATATGTCAGAAAGGACAGTAGTAGAAACTTGAAATCGGAGAATGATGAGGTAAGAACGTATTCCAATTCTCTGTCAAAATCAACAGCTTACTGAAATTCCGTTTCTTAGGGCTTTGGGACATGATGATTTGCATGCGTACAATCAAAGAGCTTGGAAGGAGCGAGCAATATTTCTGTATTTGGCGAAACAATAAAGTAGATTTTTTTCGGTTCTGAAAACTTGGAATTTTATAAAACCTAATACATTCAAGTATTAAATAAAATTTACATGATCGATCCTAGCAAAAATTCCACTGTTTTCCCTCATATATCCAGTTTTGCATCACTGTGTCTCTTTTTTTCTTTTTAAAATTCCGTTTTTGTTTTGAACGTATTTTATTGACTTAAGGAAATGGATCAGAAACAAGTTCTACAACTTACTGGTTCCTCTCCTTAAATATAACAAAATAAAATTCAATTATCACATTGGCTAAATAAATGGCGAATCCAAGTATATTATAGTTTTGTTGTATATTATCGCTAGGACAAAATATGCAGGGACAGAAAAAAAAATAAACAAAACAAACGAGACACAAAAGCATACCAATAAAGAGAGAATATATAATTTTTATATTTGAAAATACTTTTACTTTTATAAAGTGATGAGTTCCTCAAATTTTTGTTATGATTTATAAATAAAATATTGAGTTCCCGATCGACCGATAAAGCGTGTGTTGCCATTCCGAAGATTTTGCAGATAAAATGAATACATAATTTCATTAATAATTTGAATGTATTACAAAAAAAGGGGGGAAAAGAAAGAAAGAAAAGAAAATAATACTACTTGCCCAAGTACAAAGTTAACTGACACTTCATCCGAAAAAAAAAAATCCATATCAGTATAAAGGCATTCACTCGATCAAATTTATTAGCTATGAATAATTTGTTTCTTTTTAGCCATGCAAGATAAAGACTATAAGAAAATGAGATTTAAAAAAGGTTCATCAATTAGATATCGAGTTTCCCCCATGAGGAATAAACTGACAAAGTTATTAACTCAAAATCGTTTCCCTTGAAAGGTCGGACTTGAAATTAAAATGAATGAATAAAATATAAATAGGAAAATATGTGCTAAAATATTTTCTAGAATCACATGAAAATGTAAATGTTCATTTATTATGCATGAGATATTTCACTAAATTTTTGTTGGGTTTTTTCAATTCGCTACTTTTAGCAGTTCAATAACAATTTTAGAATAATATTCCACTCCTTCACTCTTATGATTTTTATATGCATTTCACATAATTCTTCAAAACTGCCAAATATAATAAAACTGTATGCATACAATGATTCACATATTTATTCCATCAGAATCTACAATGACATCACACAGAGAGTTCAGAGGTCAGCCTCGTTCTGTCTGAGTGACCACCACAAAGCTGGACGTGGAAGAACATTTTTTTGATTGGTATGTATTATGATATTGGAATTTGGTCTTAGGACAAAAACAAAATATGATTTTTCCGAAAGCTCTACGGAAATCTTTCATTGATAATGCATATATAATAGGATTCATGCCTGAATTAATATACCCCAGCCATGTGAATAATGGAAACAAAATGTCTTTATGTGTCAAACATGTATCATGACATATTCCCTCCAAAATATTGAACACAAAGAATGGTACCCAGCACAAAATAAACACTCCTACAACAATTCCCAGAGTTTTGGCCGCTTTTTGTTCACGGGCCACCTTTGTCAATTTTTTGCTAATGGCAAACTGACGGATGCGCTTGGTTATACATCTGGCCGGTCGGTGGGAAGCGGAATCAGAATTCCTTTTGCCGTTTGTCACTAAGGTCTGTCTTTCACAATCACTGAGACACTTTTCAAAGGACTGTGCGTACTCGTCCGACGACTGACGAGACATAGTTGTTCCGCCTCCGCCTCGATGTATCCGTAACGTCATCACTTCCCGGTTCCCCCTGGCGCCATTAGAAGTTAATGTCTTTTGACCAACTTTTAAACTTCGAATTTGTGCTGTTGCAGCCATATAAATTCTCCAGTAAACAACCATCATAATAATGGATGGACAATAAAACGAGACAAGTGATGAAATGATTAAGTAGGCACTGTCGGAAGTAAATATACACTCATTTTCTGCGGGTAAGTCCGGAGTGACGGCTTTCCACCAGGCAATGGCGGGAAAAGAAATACCTGCCGATAATAACCAGACCAGAGCTATAGAAAGCCATGTCCGACAAACTGTCATTCTGGAGGTATACTTGATAGGGTCACTGATGGCCCAGTATCTGTCTAACGATATCCCACATAGGTTGAGTATGGACGCTGTACTTGCAAGAACATCAAAAGAATGCCACATATCGCACCACTCAGGGCCAAACAACCAAACTTGTCCAGTCATTTCCAATGTTATCGCAAAAGGCATCACAATGCTTCCAACCATAAGATCCGCCACCGCTAAAGAGACGATAAAGTAGTTCGTAACTGTTCGTAGATAAAGCTCTTTTGTCACAGCAACAATGACTAAAATGTTTCCAGCAATGGTTATAAAAGAGAACATTGCAAGCACTACACCAACTGCCGCTTCACCGGGGGAATATGTGCTCTCGTTCATCGTTTGTGCCATGGTGACATTTGATGTAAAATTTATATACAAGTCTTTTGACGCATTGCTAAGAAACACCGCATGTGCATCCGATATGTTTTCACTTTGTGTCGTGGTCAACTGTAAAAATTCAAATGTGCTCTTTTTGGTGTCTGAATACGACATTAATACGTTTTGTGAACTTTGGCTCCCGCGAGCTGCTTAAGAACAGAAGGGTTGCCCACGCAGCGTTTCCAAAGAATCGATGCTTAGAAATGCATCACAGCAAGAGTCTAAAACAGGTAAAACAACACACAATATCAGCGTGAAAACGCCGCGTCAAGCTTCATTCTTTAGAATGATTTCAATTTACATTTAAAGACTTCCTACAATGGTTCATTAAAACAGATATTTCTTTGAGCACAAAACCATATTTTGAATATTCCGATACTCCTTGAATTCAATATTGTTCACCGGAATGCTAATCACAGGAATGTTATCTCCGTATGAACACAATCCAGGTATCGTTACCAAAAAGGTGTTTGTCTCGGAGTGTCTTCTTCAGATGTGGTGATGAAGTCCTCTTTACAGGGGTCTGCGTGATGTGAATTATGATGGTAAGGAAACAAAGCCTCTGTGTATGTTTCAGACCTTCACAATTCCCGAATTATCCTGAAATTACAAAGAAGAAATCTATCACATCTAGTTTATAGGCGGATTAGAGAGGCAGAATCTTCGCGAGATAGAAATCAGACCAGATAATTAGGACAAACGGCTGTCTAAATAAAAATACGATACATATCTAAGGCTGGAAAAGGCAAGAGATTTACGCCACAATCACTATGTAATCCGATATAAAGTCCATGTCACTGCGTATTTGAAAACTTATTTATATATTATTGTCCAGTGGCCAATTTCTGATGTAAAAGTCACGATTTCTATCTTGTCGTTGGTTAATAAGCTTCGGGGTGAAACATTATTTTTAGTGACGCAGGTATTTTATTTTAATTTCTATATTTGCAATCAAAGTCATCGTGACATATATTAATGAACATAAAAATGTCAGAAAGGAGAAAAAATATCCCTAGCTCGTCATAGCAAAATTCTGGGAGTGAAGTAGAAATATTCCGACGCTGTCCCTTGTTTGCACAGCTCAGCGGATTGTCTGGGGAATTATCCGAGGCATTGATTTGACCCAATAATAAACAATTCACCTTAGTTCTAATGAAGGTATAGTCATTATGTTCACCTGCAATCAGTTTTCCATTACATCTAAGTTACCAAAATATCAATCGACGGGGTTGTATTAGCCAGAAAACATTAAATAGCAGTACTAAGTCTGATATCAAAAGATAACCGTATAAGAAAATCAGCAGAGAATTAACTTTATGATGTAAAATTGCTATTTCTGCATCTGTGATATTCAGCATCATTCCACTAGGGGGAAATATGCTCATTTTTCAATTGGTGATTTATTCTCTAAATAAATGCACTGAACAATACGAAAATCACCCAGCTCCTCGGATTTAAGTTCACTTGTACTTTTGAAAGAATTGCTACCTTCCATTCAGCTTAATCGGGAACTTTCACTTCGGTGGTTCACATAAGTCAGCTTAGTTTTATTTAAGAAAACAAATTCCCGATGTGACAACTTTGAAGTACTGATATAAAAGAAACAAATATGAAAGAAAAATATCATTTGATCATCCTTCCAGAAAACTAACTGTGTGGTCTGTTTTATGTATCTGAAACAGACATACTGATATAACATTTCATAAACAAACATCGTATATACTTAAGGAATTGACAGATGGGAATTTCAATTGTACGCAAAAGAATTGGGTTGAGTCTGTTATTAGTACATTTGACATTAATAAAAAATTTGCAACAGTTCAATGGTAAATAATTTCTTTCCTCCTGTATCTCGCGACATATAGTATAAATTATCACTAATTTCCAACATTTGATTCTATTTTTAATATCATTTTTTGAACGCGATCTTTTAAAAGATGTCTTTCCTGGTATAGTTCTATTCTGGGAAATCGACACCTCAAGAGTTTCCCTTCAGAAACTAGAAATATGCTACTGGAGACAGCACTTAGTCTTGTCTATACGGTTAGAGAATTATTGAAATGTTATTTCGTGCAATGTTAACGACTTGAAAGAAATAGTTCACTCGTTTGTGTCAAATAGATACCTTTTAAAGACCAAATACGGATATCGATACTATCTGTATATAATTATTATTAGCAATTAATTAATAAAACATACAAGATTGACGCAAGTTGAACATGTACACGGCACCCATTTTCTTTTCGTTTTTTCTTTCATTTTTTACATGTAATTCCTATTTTGGAATCCTTTCTTCGTTTAAGGAAATGTACGTTCGTTATTTCTGTGTAATGCAAACTTAACACCAGGAAGTTAATGAGAGCGGAAGCATCATGATCAATGATCTTGTTTACGATGAAAGATATCGATCACTTATAAACTATCGAGCCAATGTGCATTTGACAGAAAATAGCTCTATTTACAAAATGTTTGGACCGTGATAAAACAATAACATCAACTTCTCACTAATTGCCACAAGAAAAGGCATTTATCACCCTTCTAAAATGGTCCTTAATTGTATTTTTGCAACTAGAATAAGGTGGTTAACCAAATTTATCGTTTGACAAGTCGTTCAAATATCTGTATAGAGATTAATTTAAACTGGAAACTAACACCCCAAGACCTATTTAGGACGTTATTCTTTCATTTGCAACATGGGGCACTTTCCTGTGCTATTTCCTATTTCATATTAATGCTGTGAAATATCCCGTCTATGTCAACGCAGAACATGACAAAGTTAAAACAAAACTTTGGTAAGTTCGATTCCTTCCATTCTTAATTATTGGTATAATTAAGAAACACTAAGTCATTGATTGATTCCGTATTTTTCATTGTCTTTAATATTTTGTCGATGGAACAGAATACCATAGACAATGTACTTTTGTTTGAGACAATTCAGAGACGAAATTCCTAGCTAGGTCATGACGGATAGAATTTACCACCGAGTGCTCACCAAAATCTTCAGAAGTCCAGATCCCTAAATCCCTCTTACAACATTATCCTTGAATAAATGGGAAATACGTTTTGCTATCACCAAACATAATTGATGAAGTATATTCCTTCATAAGCTTATAAATAATCTAAACAATTTATAGGCACAGGGGGCATACTTGGGTCTTCAATGTTTGGAGTTGAATAATTTAGGTCAAATATTAGAGAGTTTCTACAGGATAAAGAAAATTACATTTTTTTCTACTTCTGAATGGAGAATTTGCATTTATTAATTCATCAGTAATATGACTTGCAAGATTAATTCTATCACCTGGGTCAATCTCGAAATAATTTTCTGATAATTCGAATGTAACAGCTAAAATTTTTTAAATATAAAATTTACTCCTATTTTTTTCTTTTTATTAATTTAAAGTTAGTGATTTTTACATTGACTGTTGTCGAACAACGCTTTTAGAATTCCTCAAATTCCTATTTCGTTCAAGTGCCTCTATATACCGTATTGTAGTCCTAAGCAGCCTTAATATTCAGTTGAACTGTCGATCGGAATTTTGTTTTTCCGGATCTACAGAGAGTGTTAATCTCTGTATCTCTCACTGTTCACATTAACCGCCGAGACATCGTGGATCGCATTCATTAAAGATCCATCGGCATTCACTTAATTGTAGTCACTTCCTGTCAACACAATCAAATATTTCACTGAATGTGAGCATTATGTATAACGTATCAAAGAGGCTGAAGCAAACTTCTCAGTAAGTATATATACATATATCAAACGTATCGATATTCACCAGACAAATCTTATATATATATATATATATATATATATACCAGATATGGTTGGTAACATCAATACATTTTATTGAAATAAGTAGGTAGTCTGAATTGAATTTAAGATTACCCCTTTTTTACCATAAATTACATCGTGTTTGTTCCATATGCAAACACTGCTTGTACATGTATGCATTTTAAAATGACATGCAATGTTGCACAGATATAATTATATTGTATAAGATAAAATACTGGTGTGCGCATTGCATTATGATATACTCCATTACCCTGCATCCTAGTAGAATTCAATTTGTTTAAATTCATCTGATCAAAATAAACTGTTTTACCTCGAATAATAAATCTGACCAATAAGACAATAATTTTATTGAAAAATATAGTAAATGGAAAGAAAATTCAACAATTTCTTACATCCATTCTTAAGAAGCTTCAAAGCAGAAAATTCACACATATATCTTCAAAATCAAGTCCTCTTAGAGCGACATACCACGAAATATTCTTCATTTTTTGAAGTAAGAAATATTTAATCTAAATGCAAATCTGATATATGATGGAATGAAAGGTTCCAATAGTATTAGGCTAAACGTCCCTATACATTCGGAATGGACTATTGGTATTACACTAGAGCATAGTTTAAACGGAATTAAAGCCCTTAGAAGACGTACTTAATGTGTTTGGTTCATTTCTAATTGTAATACTCCATAACTTAATCAAGCAGTCACTGATTCTCAATCTCCCATAAACTTCATATAGCTATTAAATTTACCAGATAAAGGTTAACTGATTCTTGATACCACAATTACAGCATTTGGGATTGGGAAAATGAATATTGATACGTACCGTATAATTCCCAGGTCTTTTGCTTTAATTTTAAGCAAAATAATTTACAAGTTCATTGTAATTATAATGATAGACATATACTAGTAGATAAAAGTTTATAAGACATGCAGAGTTCGATATTTGATACATTATATACCAACAATTAAAAAAAAAATATTTGTTGATCAAGTTTTTCAAGTTTCTTTATTTCCTTTAGCCAACTGGCTCATCAGAATTATACATGCTATTAAGAAGAAAAAAAAAAATCATAGAGAGAGAGAATGAATACTGAAAATAGTCTTATACATCGGTAATATTTTTTCTTAACAATGTGGCAGTATTCAAAAATTTGCCCAAATTTAAGAGATCTTTAATATCGTTAGAACTTAAAAGTTGAATTAATTTAAAGACAGGCTTAGTATAATACTACTTTTTCAATAATGTCTCTCTTAGATCTATATACAAAAAGGCATTTCAAAATAAAATGAATTGTTGATCATACCTGTTACCACTTACTTGGTGCGTTAAAAAGAACAAAACAATAAATTTGTTGTACATTTATAAGCATAAGTAAGACCTTGCAAGACCTACTCATAAAAAAAATAGGGGGGAAAAATTACGACATCCATCATACAAACCTGGTCATTACAGAAAAAAACTGTTGGCTTTAAAAACATTAAACATCTAGGATTCTTTGGAATTTATGAAGGGGAGTAAATGGTAAGGTGGATTTTATATAAACCACAGGTATAAAGGTGCAATGATCGGTACTTAATAAGGTACTAATGACACCGTACCTACTCCCAGTTTATACCCACCGTGTACATTTACACAGAATTCTGAATTATTATTTTACATATGACAACTAAACATGACTTAGCATAATAAACAATGGTATTTATAAACCACCAAACAGTTTTTCACTTTCCTTTTGATTTTTTAGATTTTGCTTTTTACCACATTATTATACGTATAAATATCATCTGAGTTCTCAAAATAGAATA